ATTTTTAATTTTCTTCAAGGAAAAGTTGTGTGTTTTGGCACACATTTCCAAGTCGCTTGCTTAGACCGTGTTAGCTTTATGTCGAAAAAATGTCGGTTGTGTTGTTTCCTCCATGAAGATGGATTATTGTTGAAGCGTGTATCCCCGGTTCTATTTGACAAACAAAAAAAAAACACTCAGGTAATTAAATTTTCGATTTAATGGCAAAATACTCTCATTTTTAATTAATATTCAGTCTGTTAATTTTCTGTCAAGTGCGTTTCAACTAACATTTTGCTATTAAGTCTAGTCTGAAGGCGTATATATACTATATATGTGTATGTACGTATATGCATACGCGCATACCCGTATTGGGCTGACGTGAATTGCGCATATATTTTGGTTCGCATATATCTGAGCTGCACTGTACTGTATGTTATTCTCTCAGGATTCATATTGAAGCTGAAAAGTATTGAATAAACGTTTTGTATTTTGTGCCAGTAGAAAAAAAAGCAAGTCAGATTAAGTAGTCTTGATTACTTAAAATTGCCAGGGTTGATCTGTAGTCCTGTACTACTCACCGTTATAGCCAACTTGATAGCACCTTATGATCTGTTCGTGCTTGTTATATAGTAAATGACTGAAACTGAAACTGAATGTTACTTTTAATTTTGGGCTTAAAAATACTAGGTAAACAAGATTGTAGGTTTTGTGCTGTAATCCTTTAGAGTATCTAATAAAACAATTAGGCTACTCACTCTCGTTTTCAATGAGCGATAGTCAACTTAGCCACATCTCAATGAATATTTGCTCGCAGAAAACTTTCTGGCACTCATACTCTAATTTTAAGATAACTTAAATTAATTTGTAAGTGGAGAGAAAGTTTGAAAAAAATTCACTGCAGGTTTTTTTTTTTTCCATGGTGCTCATTATGCCTGTGTAACACTACTGATTAGAACTGATTATGACTAATAGCCAATACCTTTTGCAGCTGCTGAGAAAGTTTGAAAATAATATCTTCTTTTTTTTTTTTGCAGGAATAACCGAGCAATCCAGCCTGGGGAATCTCCATATTCTGTGGTCAAAGATTCAATAGTGTTCACAGATTCTTCTTTTGATGTTAATATACTAAACAAAAAATCAAATGTATTGCTTAGTCTTAAACTTGAAACTTTAGAGAAGAACACAGCTAGGTTTAGAATAAATGAATTGAACCCAATTAGACCAAGATATGAAGTGAAAGATGTCTTAATTCAAGAACCACGCACTGTAAGGTAAGCAGCAGGTTTAATATTTTATCTGCACATGTACATGAACAAAATGCATGTAGTAACAAAAATGACAAAATTTTGTTGACAATATTGTGAAATCTGCCAATAGTTAGGACCATATCTTAAATGGCCAAGCTGATTTTGCTTTGACAAATTTGACTGAAATCATTTCGGTCCGGTGATGGACAAAACACTGACCCCTAGTCCACGGACTACCCTAATGGACTACCCAAACGGACTACCCAAATGGACTACCCTACGTGTAAAATGGACTACATCGAAAGATCACTTTCTGGATCAACAACTTTGGCATAACTCCCTAATAAAGATAGCCAACAAAACAGTTTTTTTAAAAAATT